CACACACTCACACACTCACGCACACACAAACGCATACATACACACACACACACACACACACACACACACACACGTAATATATACAGTGGGGCAGTGTTGGGAAGTAACGAAGTACAAGTACTTCGTTACTGTACTTAAGTACAATTTCCGTGTATCTGTACTTTACTTAAGTAGATTTAATAATGGATACTTTCTACTTTTACTCCACTACATTTAACAGTAAGTATCTGTACTTTCTACTTCACTACATTTCTACACAGCGTTTCGTTACTCGTTACATCCAAGACGCATTCCGGTTTTTTTGATTTGTTCGTTAGTTTGAAAGTATCCAATGGTGAGAGCAGAATCAGTCCGCTGAACCAATCCAAAGCGGGAAATAACCATTAGGCCCGCCCTCAAGAAGAGCAGCACAGTACGCAGGACCTGCATAAAATATCTAAATCTAAACTGTCACAGGGGGTAAACACAATAAAAACATGCTTTATCTGCGGCATTGCTCATTAAAATGGTACATTACTGATTTATTAAAACTAAATATGATAGGTACACTTAATGACATCATATAAGCCGTTAGGTATTATGGTTGGCAAGTACTTTTACTTTTAATACTTAAGTCGTTTTAAAAGCTTGTACTTTCTTACTTTTACTTAAGTAAAATAATAATGTGGTACTTTGACTTTTACTTGAGTAAATTTTTGTCTGTGTATTTGTACTTTTACTTAAGTACATTGTATGAGTACTTTCTCCACCACTGGGGAAATAAGTATTTGAGCCCTTGCTGATTTTGCAGGTTTGCCCACTTACAAAGAATGCAACGATCTATAACTTTAATCATATGTACATTCTAACAGTGAAAGACAGAATCCCAAAGAAAATTCCAGAAAATCACATCATATGAATTTATAAAAATCGATAACCATCTGATGAGGAAAAATAAGCATTCTTTGTAAGTGGGCAAACCTGAAAATTAACAAGGGGTCAAATACTTATTTCCAACATTGTATATTCAACAGAAAATAGGGACTTTTTTTCTTCCTCTTTGTTGTATCGGTGCTTCTTGGCAATATGTTTTTTTCATTTTCAGGGAAGATGCATTTGGGAAATGAGCAGCCGGGTTTGACTATGTGGGCTGCCAAATATTCTTTGCCAAAAAGCGTATTAGCTTATGATGCCGAGGGTGCTAACGGTCAGATCCCTGATTAAAAGCGTACTGCGATGGGTCCAGATATTCTTCCTATTTTTCTTGGATCAGGCTTTAAAGGGTTAAAGCTGCTTTTTGTGCTTTTAAAATTGTTTTACGGGGGCTTTTGAAGCTGTTTTTTGTGCTTTAAAGCTGTTTTGGGGGGCTTTTAAAGCTGTTTTTTGTGCTTTTAAAGCTGTTTTTTGTACTTTTAAAGCTGTTTTTGTACTTTTAAAGCTGTTTTTTGGGGGGCTTTTAAAGCTGTTTTGGGGGTCTTAACCCTATAATGCCAAATGTGTCATATTTGATCCGGTTTCTGAAGAATTTTGGATCTGAGACTTTTCGCATCATTCAGTGGTAAAAGCTTTGCTCAAACCCCTGTTGTACACAT